TCAGACAAATGGCTATCCAACATCTTAAGTCTACTTTCGCCCCTCCCGAATGCCGAGTGAATGTTGAGTTTTACTGTTTAATTTACCTTTGTTCAACACCTCTTTTTGTATTTGTCCTACACTCCCTTTCCCCTTTGATTGTAAGCCGCCCTGAGTCCCCTCAGGGAAAAGGGCGGCCTATAAATGTGCAATAAATACAAAATACAAAATACAAAAGGAGGTTGCGTAGTCGAGGCAAAGGAGCCTGCAGCTTCCTTCCTTCACATGTTCAGGCAATGTTGGGGGGCTTTCTCCCACACCTTCGGAGAAAGAAAGAAGGCATGAGAGAAAGCCCCTCCCACTGCCTCTCAGAGGTGGGGCAATTGGTGAGCCAGCCAATCAGTAAGCGCCGGGTGGGAAAAGCATGGTGCGGACAGGCGGGGTGAGTGAGCAGTGACTGGATGGGCAGGGGTATTGTGCGAGGGGGGGCCAGATGGGAGGGAGCGTTCCAGTAGTCTGCCCCAGATGAACAGGTTCCAAAAGAAATGCTAAATTTCACGAATGGGTTCTAGTGTACTGGTGTGAACTGACTGAAACCCATCCCTTAAAATAGTAAATGTTGTTCCTATTTTTAACAAGTAGGAGGGAAAGTTTACATATCAATTACCTAGATACTGGCAATACCTTGCAAAAAGATCAGTCAGTTTCTAGCTTTTTGACTTTGGAGAAACAGGTTAGAGAGAGTGTTGACACTTTTTGGACTTTTGGTGTTGAAGAACATTCCTGAAAATATTGTGACCAGCAAAAAGAAAATCACATGAATCAAACAATTGAACCATCCAGCAAATGAATCATCAAACAAATCAACCCAGAGTTCTCACTCAAGGTACAAATGGTGATACTCAAATTATCCTACTTAGGACATCTCACATAAAAAGACCTATTTCTCTGAAAAAGTCTGTAATGATGGGGAAGGTGGAAGGAAAAAAAAGGAGATAGCGCAGCAGCAAAACCCAAAATAGAAGCAGTCACATTTTTCACAGTGTTTTATTTGCCACCTTGGCATCACAGATTCATCCATCATTTGAGTGGTTTTTGGCCACAACAGCAGAGAAAATGTTTTCCCCACTCAGCTGACCCTTTGGGTTTAATTTAAATATTATTTTGCTGTGGCTTTTCCCCTCTTTCAGTATCATAGATAAATATTCCAGTCTGAAGGTCACATTCTACAACTTTGAAGAGGACTGCAGAAGTTAACATCATAGTTAATTTCTCCAATTTTAAGATGCAACATAACATTCTTTTTTAAAAAAAAAATAGAGATGTCCACATCCTTATGAATTAATTATTTTATCTTCCACTTTGTTTTATTTCCTCTACAGGTTTATCAAAATGGCTGTATGAGCACTTTCGATTTCTTTGTCTCCCAATATATGGTGGGTTTCCTGTCAAACTCCGCACCTACATTGGAGAACCCATCCCGTATGACCCAAATCTAACTGCTAAGGAGCTAGCTGAAAAAGTAAGCAAACTTTTCACCAAAAGTCACTTCTTAAAAATATTGTTTTTTTTCTGCATAACATTTTAGTTTTGAAATACAGTCAGAGATTATAGTTATTTTATATATTTCAAACAGCATGTGTCCAAATTCCCTCTTTCAATGATTCTTTTATTGATTATGGTGAAAATAGGAAAAAGACTAATTGAAACTAAGACTTTGAATAATACCACACAAAAAATTGCATTGTACTTGTTAAAAACTCTTTTAATAGAAAAGGAAAGTCCTTTTCATCAATATCTCCAGCTCATCTACATCTCTCCATATCTCTCCCCTTGACTTGCAGATGTGTGACATCAATCCCAAAATGATAATCCTTTTTTTTTCTGTTTTCCCTCTCTGATATATCTCTTCTAAATATATTTACATTTATTCGACATTAAATTCACTAAATATAGATATTTGGATAATTACATTCATTGAAAAATAAGCAAAGTTTGAGTTGATTGGAGAAGGGAAAATATTATCAGTATCTAAAAAAAGTGAAACAAAATGATGACATGAAATGTTAGTTTGAGATAAATATGTGGAAAGAGACTAAAGCAGATCATAAATTTCTAAATCTCTAAGTAGTTTGGACGTAATGGGTAGCAAAACATGGATTTGTTAAGAAGTCTTGCCAAATAAACAGTTACCTGTTATGATCAACTAATTCTGTGAATTCACTTACCTTCCTTACCAGTTTGCAACTGTGAGCGCACGCACCATGCCTGTGCATGCACATCACTTTCTGTGCATGTGGAGTGCTTGCACATTACATTGAGGCAGATCTTCCTCAGATGCTGCTACCAGTTCGCCTGAACCAGAGAGAACCAGCTAAATACCACCTCTGCTTGAATGTAGAAAGCCTCACTCTCAGGAAAACATTTGTCAAAGTAACCCATTATGGTCTCAAACTAATGGGCCGGATTCCAGTGAATCCACACTGGAATTAAATTCTTCCTTTTGAAACACTCTGAAGGCTTCTTCATGACTTTGGAAGCACCTATTGAACAGGGTATTGTAGGATTTGATCTCCGGCAAAAATGCTTATCCAATGTGCAGTTGACAAACAATTGTATAGGACTCTGCCTAACTGAAACACAATGAATGCATTTAAAGAAATATAATAACAGAGTTGAAAGGGACCTTATAGGTTATCTAGTCAAACCCCCTGTTCAAGCAGGAGACCCTATACCATTTCTAATAGATAGCTGTCCAGTCTCTACTTGAAAGCTTCCAGTGATGAAGCACCTACAATGTCTAAAAGCAAGCTGTTCCATTGGTTGATTGTTCTCACTGTCATAAAATTCTTCCTTATTTCTAAGTTGAATCTTTCCTTGATCAGTTTCCATCCATTATTTCTTGTCTGGCCTTCAGATGCTTTGGAAAATAGGTTAACCCCCTCCTATCTGTAACAGCCCCTCAAATATTGGAACACTGCTGCCATGTTACTCCTGGTCCTTTTCTTCACTAGACTAGCTATGCACAGTTCCTACAACCATTCTTCATATGTTTTAGCCTCCAGTCAACTAATCATCTCTGCACTCTTTCTAGAGTCTCAACATCTTTTTAATAGTATGGTGACCAAAATTGAATACAGTGTTCTAGGTGTGGTCTTACTAAGGGTTTATAGAGTGACATTAGTACCTCACATAATCATGACTGAATCTCTCTGTTAATGCAACTTAGACATTCAACGCAACTGTGGCACAAATTTAACAGAGACACTTGAAGAGAGTTTAACAATATGTTACAGCAAACATTTTTATGGATCACAATCTTCAAAACATAGGACATTCCTGAGAAGGGAGTATTATTTATCTCCATGGCTATTGTAGTGGCACAGGGAAGGTGCAGGGAGAAAGAAAAAGGACAAAAAGATGGTGGTGAAAGGAAGGGTGGGAGAGAGAAGTGAGACAGAAGGCATCCGGCTAGAAGCCAGGAGACTGAGAGCTATAATCCCATATTAGGCACAAAGATAGTGAGGTGACTTTAGGTAGACATTTTATCTCAGCCCTAGGAAGGACATAATGGCAAATTACTTCTGAAAAACCTTGACAAGAAAACTGCAGGCAGGGACTGTTTCAGTTTCTGAAAATCAGACAGAATTCAACAGAATAAAAAAATGATTAGAAAGACAACTCTTTCCCCAAAACAAGATGATTTTTGCAGCTTTCAGGACAGTATAATACATACATTTACTCTGTACTATCAGTTAACATATATTGTGTAACAAGAAGCTCTGATCTATCTTCTGTCTATAGGAAATCATGTCAATTTAATCCAGAAAGTCTCATTTGTTCAATCATTTTGAATTCAGATCCACAGTTCTGGGAAGAAATTAGAGACATGTCTAATACTGTAGGAGACGAAAATGTCATTGTGGTGAAATACATGCTGAAGCACTCTGTCATGGCTGCAAAAATGGCAAATACAATTTCAAGTTATAAAAGCTACTACTTTTATTCAGTTCTAATTTTCCAGATTCTGTCTTCTTTATTGGATTCCACAATTTAAGAATGTGCCAGACAAATTGGAATAGATTTGAGAACAGTGAGGATAATCAGTGTAAATTGTCATCTTAAATGCTATTAACCCTGTGACTCCCGAGGGCATGGGCAGGATTATGGGAAGAGTCAGTGATGCCACTTGTGTGCTGGACCCGTGTCCCTCTTGGTTAGTTTCGGCTTCCCAGGAGGTGACACAAGGCTGGCTCCAGGCGATTACCAACGCTTCATTGAGAGAGGGGTTCTTTCCCACTGCCTTGAAGGAGGCGGTGGTGATACCTCTCCTTAAGAAGTCTTCCCTGGACCCAGCCTCTTTAGCCAACTATCGTCCGGTCTCCAACCTTCGCTTTGTAGCGAAGATTGTTGAGAGCGTGGTTGCATGTCAGCTTCCCCAGTACCTGGACAGAGCAGCCTATCTGGATCCGTTTCAGTTGGGTTTCAGGCCGGGTACAGCATGGAGACCACATTGGTCTGTTGGTTGATGATCCCTGGTGGATCTGGGATGGGGGTTGTTCCTCTGTCCTGGTCCTATTAGATCTCTCGGCGGCTTTCGATACCATCAACCATGGTATCCTACTGCAACTCAGGGGATTGGAAGTGGGGGGCACCATTTTGTGGCCAGGCAGTGTCGGCTGGAGACCCCCAGGGGGGAGAACATTCTCTGTGGGAGCGCCTTCCCTTTGGAATGAGCTGCCCCCAGAGCTTCGCATAATTCCCAACCTCCGGTCCTTCTGGCATGCCCTAAAAAGTTGGCTTTTCCAGCAAGCTGGCCTGGCCTGAATAAAATAAATTATTAATTTTAATTGTTATTTTTAATTTAATTTCTAAATCTCATTGTAAATGTCTATTGGATTTTTTGGATATTCTATTTAATCTCTCTTTTAACTTTTGTAATATGTGTTTTTATGTTGTACGCCGCCCTGAGTCCTTTGGGAGAAGGGCGGCATATAAATCCAATAAACCTAAACCTAAACCTAAACTATGTTTGTCCTTGACAAAAGACTGAGGAAAGATCAGACTAAGTTTTAAAGGAGGTCATACTAATTCTTATGGTTCAATAATGTAAGACATGGATCAATAAAATTAAGTTATGGGAAAGTCTTGTGAAAAGATAAGAAAATCTTTCTGAGAGATGATCTGTTAATGTATTTTTAAAAATGACTTTATGCTGTCATATTCTTCTTCTGTATTTAACAGACAAAGATTGCGATTGAAAATCTCCGAGACAGACACCAGAAACTACCTGGAAATATATTAAGAGCTTTATTGGAACGATTTGATAAAAACAAGAAAGATGCCTAATATTTTTATATTTTATTATAGATTAATGAATTTTCCTCTCATAATTCATTTCCATCCATCCATCCTCAGTGAAATGTTTAAAATAGTTTGAAATTTATAATTTGCTTTCTTAGGCTATGCAATGAATCATGTTATACAATATTCTGATAAACTGTGTTTTTTTCAGAATAATAAATGGATACTATTTTCATGCTGTAAATAGACCAGTGACACATCTGTATGCTTTTTTCTATATATTATATCCTCACATCCATGGCATATAACCAAAAGACAATGGGAATGTCTGGATGGACAACAGCAACTTCGTTTTGTTTTGTTTCAATGATAGCCTGTTCTCTTCCATCCGGATTTTTGCACTTTTCAAGCACCTGGTATAAACAGTTAAGAAATGGCCTTGGTGAATTATGCCAGCTCCATTGTCAAGGTGACAGGGAACAAAATATATATTTAAATCCACAATAGATAGATATTATTTGGAAAAGGTTCAGACACCTGCCTAATTCGCTGAAATATAAATAGGAGTAGGAGGTACAGTGTAATCAGGCTCACAAGATTGAGCTCAGTCTCACCAGAGAGACCAGACAAGAAATCAACTCCACAGAGAGAATAAATTTAGAGTGGCATAATAATAGATTCATTTATGAGATCAATGTACAAACCCACCATTTGATTAAAAGTCTATATGACCCACTGACTCAGTATATAGGTATCAAAAATATGCATTTGTTTGGAGAAGTCCATACAGATCAATAAATTATTATGTTTGGTCACTTAGTCATCAAGATGTTTAAAGTGCATTGGCATTTTTATCCATCTATCAAATTGTTCCCAAGATTTGGCAGATATTATTATTGCTCCTTCACTTAATAACCAAGAAAGAAACCACTCAACTCCACTTTGTAGAATTAACAGTACTTTTACTGATTAATAAGTAATTAAAAGCTAAGCAAAGCTGGATCTGAGCAAAAGGCGCGAAAGCATTAGATATCAATACATGATTCATTC